CATGAATAACCCTGAAAAAAAATTTATGATAAAATATTCATGGATCTGAGATAAAAGATTTCATATTTTTCTAGAACAAACAAAATCATCAAGCTTTTTATTGAGGACAGGATCTGTCCATCCTACCTGTCTAAGCCAGAGGCAATAAAATAACTGGTTTTAAGTTTCTCTACATTTAGGTAAATTTCTGTAAGGACCCTCTGTCTAGCAAAGAATAGTCTGTGAATTTCGTTGTAAGCCACAACTCAGTCCTTTGTTCCATTCTCTCTCTGTATTCCCTTCCTTCATGATCTCAGCTGAACTCATGGCTTTCAGTATCATCAACTATTTCCAATTTAATATTTTTAAGCCAGTCAGCCCCAAACAGTACAGATCTCTCTCCACTAAACTCCAACTGTCTTTTCAACATCTCCTCTAAGACGTCTAAAAGATATCTCAAACATAACATACCAAATCCAAACGGATCTTCCTCCTAAAGTCTCCCTCGTATCAATTGATGACAACCTGATCTTAACCTAAGGTCAAAAAATTTTTAAGTCAATTTTAGTGTAGTTTAAATGTCTCTTTTTTTTCTCCCTTTATTAAACTTCTAAAGGAAAATGTAAGTTATGCTGTGTACTTATACACACTATCCTAAAGTAACTATGTCCTAATGTGTTACATGAATAACCCTGAAAAAAAATTTATGATAAAATATTCATGGATCTGAGATAAAAGATTTCATATTTTTCTAGAACAAACAAAATCATCAAGCTTTTACAACTTGAAAAATGCCATGGAGTCCTAAGTGCGTGCTTTGGCAGTCAATACTGCCACCCGATGGCAAATATTAAAATCTAAAACCAAAGGACAGAAAGAAAATACCTGACCAGATTGCTCAAATTCAAATGTTCACCTCAATATTTAAAATTATGTTTTATCAAGTAAATTCCATAATTTATTAGAGTACTAGTCTACTAAAACATCTGTGCCTGAATGTCCACATATCACTAAACAAGCAAATTAAACATTTCTAATTCAATCATGTAAGAAAAAAAGAAAACAAATAATTTGAGTGCCTACTATACAACAGGCACTATAGAAGATGCTGAGGATATAAAGATGATCAAAACATAATTATTCTTTACTTCATGGAGTTTACATTCCAGTAGGAAAGATAAAGAATCACACAAATATAAATGTGGTAGATGCTACAAATTTAAAAGATACAGTGCTATGAAAGCATCTAATGGAAGTATCTGACCCGAGAATGTTAAGGGTGTGAAGCAGGAAGTGCAGAAATAAGAAAGGCCTTGAAATATTTAGGGACAAAGAACATGCAAGGAACTGAAATAAATCCAAACAAAGTGTAACTTTAAAGAATCAGAGACACTATAGAAAATATCAAATTACCTGACTTACACATTAAGATACCATCTTTTAATCAATAATCTAAAAGGCTGAAAACATCCAACTTCAATCCTTACCTGAGAACTATGACTGAACTAGACTGAAAAGGAATACTGACTATTCATAAAAAATAGGATTAGGACTAAATGACAGAATTGAACAGGATATTCTGGAATAGGAAAGGACCGGGGATGATTTTTCAATGTCCAAGTAATGACCTTTTATACAAAACCTGGTAATCTGTTTTTCAACTCCATAGAATTGGGGGAGGGAATGTTTTGTGGTAATAAACTAGGAATTGTACTCTGAAGGCTGCTGGTTTACCTTTTCTACCTGCTGATTACTACCGTTTATTTCACATCGCATAGTTTTTCTGAGCAGACATGAGAGAACTGTTCAATACATTCCTCGTCAATTATGGCAACAATCTATACTTTAAAATAGTTTACTTGTATTTTTTCTTTATTTAGAAGATTCTAATCATCTGAACCCCCTTCCTCATTTAGGAAAATTTCTAACAGTGTGAAGTTTGTTCAGAAACAAAATCTATTCCCACACAATTCAGAAGGTAGGGGTAAGACCTAAATTTAGTCAAGTAGATATTACTAAGCAGGCCTTCAAATCTTCATAAGTGATAACAAAGATGTGGGGAGGGTTTAGAACTTCTCTACCCAAGCCTGTAGCATGCAGCGTAAGGACACCAGGAGTGGTACCCCAGGATCCAGTGGCAGCGACAGGAATATCCTAATCAAACTTTTCTGTGGCTACATCTTTGCTGGGAACCAACCCACTAGCCTTCTGTTATACCTACCCCTTTCCAACCAAGGGTTTTACAGCCTTCCCATCTCCTTTGTGAGCTACCCAATATCCTTTTGTATTAGAGTACAGGTTAAGACAACCAAAAGTAAGTTGCTTAAATAAGCTAAAAGTTAATTCTTTTCTCATAAAACACATTCTACAGGCAAATATGCAAGCGCTACTAGTTACCACAGTTACTGCCATTTACCAGCCATTGTAAAAGATCTCAGTGATGTAAAATTCCAACAGAGCAATTCTACTCATATCCTACTGACCTAACAGTATAACCATGCTAGATGCAAAGAAGGCTGAGGAATATGGTATGCAGCTGAAGACCATGTGCTGAGAGCTACAAACTCAGTGAATTCTATCACCAAAAAGAAGGCAAGAACAAATCCTGAGAGGCAGAGGTCCCTGACATACTTCCCAATAACTGCCTTTTCTGCTCAGGGAAACCAGAACTGTTTCTGTTGCTTACAATCAAACCAAAGACTTCCAGTGGTTCTGATTTTTTAAAGTTATGTAAGAGAGCAACCTTGAGCCACTCTGATCAGGGAGTTGACTGGGGGCAGGGGCGGGGGAGAACACATAGCTACTTGAAGCTCTGCTTCCTTAAATACAAAATTAGGTATCAGGTCTGAGGCTCAAAGAAACCAGACTATACATCATCTGTCTTGAAAGAAGCACAATATCCATTTCACCAAGCACTACCCATAAAATATTCATCAGAGATAAATTAATTACTAAGAAGCAGTAACAGTATACAAATGTTTGGTTTCTATATAATATTTTATAATTTATAAAGCACTTTCACATTATTCTCATTTAAAAAATATATATACATGTGTATGTGTTAATACATATATATATATACTTCATATTATCACTTTGCTTTAAAAGTAAACATACCCAGTATTTGCTCCCCCATTTCCACTTGCTTTTAGACATTTAAGAGTCAAGAAATTTTATGATTTCAGGCCCTCCTGACAAGAATAATAAAATGTGAAATGCCAATAAACAGAGCCAGAAAAACAACAGATAACATTTTCAACCAGATTTATATTACAGAACACCCAGAAAATAAAGTATTTTAAAGATGGAAGAAAAGAACAAAGGACAGAGATGTTCGTAGAACATCTTACATTTTACAATTTAAGATTTTACATTTTACAATATATTTCTCGTTTGCTTTTAAGACTGTTGAGATGAGCTGGGGACTAATAGCAGATGAAGACAAGTTAGAAAAAAACCTTGCATATAAGCTATACTTCTATTTCTCAGGCCTTAGCTTAAATATATTCTTGATGTACTTACTAGTCTCTCCAGAGAAAAGGACATTATTTAAGATTCAAGACGAAATGGAAAGAAAAAAAAGATACCTCAAGGCACTTTTTAAGGGAAAGGCCATGAATTATTATAATAGCCACTCAACAAAATACACGCCTCTATAATTAAATACACTGAGAAATTTGTATCTGTCATAATCTTAATAGGGAATCAAATGCAACTCAATAATCACTGATATTTCATATGGTTGGAGTAACTAATTTTTTAATGAAATAACATGTGTTAAAGATGGGCATAATTTATGGAAAGCCTAAAATAATTCCTCCAAATAACTACTCAGCAGACTCAGCAACATTTTTTTAATTTGTCTGAGGAAAGTTATAAATATAAGGAGCACATTCTCTTTGGTCTTTACTTGGGTCTAACAGGAACTACTGCTACACATGACCATGTAACTTTACATCATGTATTTCTTGAGTCAAAGTTCCCTCATCAACAGGATTAATACACAGGATTCTTAACATGTAAATATAAGTTGCACAAAGCAAGCTCTCGGTAGGTAAGTACTGGAGGTGGCCAAAGAGTTCGCTGGGATTTTTCTATAACATCATAAGGGAAAAACCCAAACGAATGCTTTGGCCAGCCCAATGTATAAATATATTTTATATAGGCCAGCCCTATAGAAAGTAGGACCTATCTCTTCACTTAATTCCACAATGGTAAGATTTATGATTTTATACCCAAATACTTAGAGCTACAACTTGTCAATGTACTCTAAATTTAATCTTTAATAATACATGTTGATAAAAATTATTTAGAAATTCTTCCCTAATTCTTCTTACTGCTTTTGCCACAAGCAACTGAAAAACTTTTTAAAATATTCTATGTTCTTTTAAAAATAGCCACAAGGGGTCAGTCTTTCCTAAGAAAGAAGTTTAATATAGTCCAGTACCTTCCAAGATAAGCATCTATTTTTGCAATATGTTATTTATGTTACCCATTATAAATCAAATTTCGATGTACCAGGTGTTAATTTTAACAAAGCCACCCATCAAAAAATTAAAGAAGATCAATAATCATACATCTACAATTTAAAGAGTTTCATTTATAACTTTACTCGATTCTCATAATAGCACGTAGACAAAATCTTTACTGATTTTGTGAAAAAAGTGGAAGTCGTTCAGTCATGTCCAACTCTTTTCAACCCCATGGACTACAGACCATCAGGCTCCTCTGTCCATGAGATTTCCCAGGCAAGAATACTGAAATGGATAACCATTCCCTGCGCCAAGGGATCTTCCCCACCCAGGGATGGAACCTGGGTCTCCTGCATTGCGGGTAGATTCCTTACCATCTGAATCACCAGGGAAGCCTTATGAAGAAGCAAATTATTAAGAAGTTGACTGTTACTGAAATTCTAAAAATAAATACATGGGATCTGGGTGTGCAAACTACAGCAAATGAGTATAGGTATTACTTGTATTAATATATTAGATATGTGACTATATGCTCCAAAAGCCACTTACCTTGCCAACTATCATTGCAGACACACAACTTTTCTCCTGTTAGGTCACAGTAACCATGATCCGGACTGCCGCAGTTGGCTTTACAGTAGGGGATATCACAAGCTTCACCCTTCCAGTATTTTTCACATTCACAATACACTTGACTTGAAACAGAGACACTAGTTGTACACTTCCCGTGACCAGAGCAATTGTTAGGACAAGAATTGATTCTGTAAAATATAATTCATATATATTCAAATTTAACATGATTGGAAAAATAATCTGGGCTGGTATTTTGTTAACTTTACAAATGTTGTATGTGTCCATGTGCTTCATTTGACACAGTTTTACAACGTGACTTCAATTCTTTACTCTGTACCTTTTTACCCCTAAGGTGATTCAGGTATACATTTCTTCAACTGGCCTCAGGTCATTCAATGAGTTTACTCTGCTACCAAGACTACAGCACAATGTTTGGTAAATATTCAAGTACTCAAATGCTTTATAGGGCATGAGTACACTTTATAGGAAAAAAATAAGGTCATGAATACATGAAACAGCAAGAGAAGCCAAGACATAAACTCGTTACATGATACTTAAATAGCATGCTATCAACTAAACACTGTGGTGGAAGTTAAAAGGTGTTTATCAGATTTTATTTTAAGCCTCCCTAACTGATTATATTTTACTATATATTTATTCTCCCTTGTGTACATGCTTGATATAAATAAATTCTATAATAAATTGCTGATTCAAGGATATTTAGGATGTTTTATTCCTCATGAAAAATCCTCGGTTATCATTTTCTACATTCCTGAAGAAAACAAACAAAGAAAAAAATGTATCAAATTCTTCTGTGGTCATTCCTAATGAAAACAACCAAAAGCATCTCTGGCTAATTCACTTCACCCTTGGACTTCTATAAAAATTTGCATAGAGAGTTAGACGTAAGAGACACTCAAAAAATATTATTTTTCTAATTTTAAAGAGACAGTGGTATATAGCCACTTACCTTATCTCCTAAGCCTCAATTTTCTCATGTGTAAAATGGGGAAAATAATCACTTGACAGAACTGATATGAAGAGAATTAAAGAATCTTATTGTATATAAAGCATTCAGCACAGTTTCTGCAATAAGACGGACTATGAAAATGTAGCTCTCTTCATTCTTCAGATTAGGTATAAAATATCTTGGAGCACAGAGGGGCAAATGATGGCTCCCTACAATCCTGAACATTTGTGACTTAAAGTTACACTAAGTATGTATTTCTTTACTTAATCATTTCCCAACGATTTTTAATTTTGTAATTAATTTTCAGCCAAACCTAACTTGTTACCATGGTGCCCTGAGGCTTACAAATTATCCTAATACAAGCTTACAGTATTTGGGGGATCATATTATTAAAAATCTCATGTAACTTAGGAAGAGATGCTGTATACTTTGGAATTTAACACCCTAGCTGACTCCTGGCACATAAGACATTTATACAAACAAACAATAAACTCTTTTATGTCAAATTATAACAATCATTATTACAATATCAATTAAAAAAAAATACTTACGAGTAAAAAATGTTGAAACCAGTTAGATTATACGCGGCATCACTAAAAAAATGTAACAGTGCATAGCCAGATGTTGTGACGACTTCAGGCACAGTTTCATTTCCCCGTATTTCAGGAACTATCAAACCACTGAAAGACAGCAAAGTTGAACGCTGTGTATATTAATGTACATATGACTATTAATCACACAAGACTCCTTCAAAATATTCCTGTCACAATCATTAACTATCTATTATATATTACAATGGGCAGCGAGAAGAATAAATCTAAAATGAGTTCCTAGTCATTCCTCAGCGGTGAGCTCTGCTGCTGATGATGACAGACCACCATCTACTCTCAGGCCACCATACTCCTTTCTCTCTTCTCAACACCAGACTGTAATGCCCCATTTCTCCCCTTTGCCCTCTTGTCCATCCTCTCATAAGACCATAGGGTGCTCTTTTACTTAAGTTATAAGCAAACCTTCGTTTAAAGACACCTTGGGAAAGAACTGTTGTAGCTTAGCTGCTAAGTCGTGTCTGACTCTTTGGAACCCATCGACTGTAGCCCGCCAGGCCCCCTCTCCATGGGATTTCCCAGGTAAGAATACTAGAGCAGGTTGCCATTTCCTTCTCCAGGGGATCTTTTCGATCCAGATATCAATCTGCATCTACTGCACTAAAAGGCAGATTCTTCACCACTGAGCCACCTGGGAAGAACTAATATGGTTAAAATGTCCATACTACCCAAAGCAATACTACTTTTATTTTTTGGGGCTCCAAAATCACTGCAGATGGTGACTGCAGCCATGAAGTTAAAAGACGCTTGCTCCTTGGAAGAAAAGCTATGACAAACCTAGACAGCATATTAAAAAGCAGAGACATTACTTTGCCAACAAAAGTCAGTCTAGTCAAACTATGGTTTTTTCAGTAGTCACGTATGGGTGTGAAAGTTGGACCATAAAGAAAACTGAGCACTGAAGAACTGATGCTTTTGAACTGTGGTGTTGGAGAAGACCCGTGAGAGTCCCTTGGACTGCAAGGAGATCCAACCAGTCCATCCTGAAGGAGATCAGTCCTGAATATTCACTGGAAGGACTGATGTTGAAGCTGAAACTCCAATACTTTGGCCACCTGATGCCAAGAACTGACTCATTGAAAAAGACCCTGATAATGGAAAAGTTAAAGGCAGTAGGGAAAAATAAAAAATAAAAAAATAAAGGCAGGAGGAGAAGGGGACGACACAGGATGAGATGGTTGGATGGCATCACCGACTCAGTGGACAAGACTCTGAGCAAGCTCTAGGAGTTGGTGATGGACAGGGAAGTCTGGCATCCTGCAGTCCATGGGGTCACAAAGAGTCAGACACGACTGAGCAACTGAACTGAACTGTATCCTTTTCTCCATCTAGAATGTCCTATCTAATCCCCACACTTTGTCTTCACTCTTCTACTGACAATGAAAGACACCATGAAGAATTAGCTACTTCCGAAATCATACAGCACTCTTTTTATAATCTGATTACAACACTTGTTACACTTGTTATGTTTAAAAAGTCTGTTTTTGTGTCATTCACAGGGCACAACGACTGTGTGGTGATGCAGCCTCCAAAACCTTGGCATTTCCCAACTGACAAGAATGTCTCTGTTATCCACTGTGGGCTCACAGTTATGCTAGAGGTGACTCAGGATGGGAGCTGCCCACACCAGAAAGACCAACCATGTGACTGATTGATTAACATGTCGGAGCTTTAAGCCACAAGAAATCCACCTGACTTTCAGAGTCAGAATGGGGCTAGAGACTGAGTTTGACCATGTGGCCAATGATTTAATCAAGCATACGAAACGCAATTCCCAATTAACTCTGTAAACCTATAACTCAGGAGAGCATCCTGATACACACTGATATATTGGGAGGATAACATCTGTCCTAAGGACACAGAGTTTCCCTGGCAGCTCAGCTGGTAAAGAATCCGCCTGCAATGCAGGAGACCCTGGTTACATTCCTGGGTTGGAAAGTTCCCCTGAAGAAGGTACAGGCTACCTAACTCCAGTATTCTTGGGCTTCCCTGGTCGTTCAGATAGTAAAGAATCTATCTGCAACGTAGGAGACCTGGGTTCGATCCCTGAGTTGGGAAGAAGCCCTGGAGGAGGAAATGGCAACCCAGTCCAGTGATCTTGCCTGGAGAATCCCATGGACAGAGAAGCCTGGTGGGCTACAACCCATGGGGTCGCAAAGAGTCGGACACAACTGAGTAAGGACACAGAAGCTTTGTCTGTGATGCTCCCAGATCTCACCCTACGTGTCTCATCATCTGACCGGTCCTGGTTTTTATAATTGGGAATAAAACTATAATCATAAGTAAAGTGCTTTCCTGAGTTCTGTGAGTTATCTAGTTAATGACTGAACCTGAGAGGGTTATGGCACCTCTCAATGTGTAACCAGCTGGTCCAGAAATGCTGGTGGCCTGGGCACCCCTGAACTTGCAGCTGGCGTCTGAAGTGAGGGCAGTTTGGGGAGGGCTGTGCACTTAACCTATGAAGTCTAACCCAGCTTCAGGTAGCTGGTGTCTGCAGTAACCTGTACCTTACTGCATCCTCCAGGCTTACGGTAGTCTCTGGAACTGGGTAGGTTATTAAACATTTGTTGAACAATAAATACTCATACAACTGGAATAATTCAAACGTTTAGATTCTGAATTCTTACTAAAGTGAAGTACAAACAGTATAGGCTTTAAGTCAGGAGACTAGCAAGTCCTAATCCTGGCTCTACCGTCTATTAGAAGTAAGACTTGATTTCTCTGGGGCTCAATTCTCTCAACAATAAACGGGGGCTAACAGCACTTCTACAGTGTCCTTATGAGGACGGGATGACATTTAAACTGTCTGGTACAGTGCTGAGAATCAAGTGGATATTTAATAAACATGAACTTTCTATCTCCCTCAGGATAGCTAATAGCACTTGCTAATGAAAACTCACTGGTTCCACCTTCACGGTCACACTAAATCCCATCCTGCTAATTATCTAACAAAAGTTTCCTTTAGTATCAAAGAAATGGTTGGTAAGAGCGTTAATGAATCACTGTTAATTAACAGAAAGTCATCACAACTACTAGAAACACAAATAAAAAGGCACACATCTAAATGACAGCAAATGTAGACAAAGATAGAGGAATGAAAACAGTTATATCTAAATTGCTAAAAATAAATGTATGAACCTAGGATCTTATCTAACTGTTGCAAAAAAATATATCTTACAGTGTAATTATTCACAAAGCTCTGCTCCATTTTCTATCTACTGCTCTTAGATTAAGAGTTACTCAAGAATACCCTTTAAATAACTTTCAAACAGCTCAAAAATTAAGTTCTAAAAGTGTCTTGAGCAATAGCAATGTCACGGAGTAAGTGTCTAAGGTCTGAAAGAGTCACTTTAAAACAGTCATTCCAAAATACAATTTCTTACTTGTTTGTCAAAAAAAAATAATAATTTGCATTCCTGTTAAAACAGAATAACTACAACATAAATAGTAATACTTTTCTACAACTGACTATAAGTTCACCAATGAAACAAAACTACTCACCTAAGTACAGCTATTAAAGGTGCATATATTGAATCTCCATCATAAACATACATATGATCCCAGCTACATTCTGTAGCAAAATGATTGAATCTTAATCTTAATACTGCATTTGGACTGAAAAAAATTAAAATATTTTAAAATTAATATGTAATATGTAAAGCATGATCTGAAGAAATCTTACAATATTTTATTAAAAATCTATTTACAGAAATTTAGCTATAAATCCCTAAGTCATCAGTATAAAAGATTGATAAGCAGCCATATACAATTTGTAAAAAAGACATACAACTTCAAAATCTATTAACCAGCCATAGGCATGCATCATCCTTTTCTAAAAATTTAATCAACAGGAAATGTACTATGTCTTAATTAAGGTAGAGATATATAAACTGTAAACTTACTGAAACTTTATTTACCTGTACACTTAATACAGATGTATTTCATTATATGCAAATTGTACTTAAATAAAGTTGATTTTTAAATTCAGCACTCAAGACTATTCTTATTTCTGTCAACCTTTAACTACAGGTACTAATAAGGTCTTCAAATTTAATCAAAACATCTCAGTATGATACACTGCCATTTGTTAACAAGTAAAGGAGACCATAGGTGCAAAGGTAATTAATAACTCTCAAGTTTTAAAAAATCTTTTAAAGTAACAACAAAAAAAAAATACCCAGTTTTCCAGACTCTTTAAAAATCATAAAACAGTTCAAAAACAACTAATATCAATTCATCTAGGATTCATTCATGTGTTTAAATAGATAAATTCAGTCACACCCTAATTACTGAAAAATGCCTTTAAAAGGACAATTAACTCTTTTAGGAAATGTTCTTTTTTTAACACCTTTAGAACTAAAAGGATGAACACTATGAACTAATGGCATAATTCAGCATGGATTTTAAGTTTTTATATGATTGTTTCATTTTACAAACTGGAGAAACACATTGAAAGACTGAACATTATACAGATGGGTTCCATGCTGATGCAAAATGAATTCAGTAACACTTCCTCTGCACAAAAATTAGATGGAGGCAAAAAAAAAGATAAAATGCACTTTGAAAGATGCAGATCTATGGAGCAGAGAAATAGTATATGTACCAAGTACTCTGGGGGGAGTTTACACTGTTAGCTCTGTTTGTTTTTCATGCAGCAGGATTGCAAACTAGCTATCACCAGACTTTACTGAATTCTGCTACCTGTTTTTATTATCATTTTCTTTTGCCTACTTTATACCTAGTCCAAGAACTCAATTTTAAAAATAGGGTAAATCAAGGGTTTTTTTAATTATCCTCTATTTTAAACACAAAAAAGAAAAAGATAATTAGAAAAGCTTCAGATTTTCAGACTTTTAAAATATTTAAAGAATAACCCAATTCTACTTCATATTGTTCTCCTAAGCTCCAGCCCACTTATTTTATCAAGAAAAGACAATGTTTTAAATAAAAATATCTTTCCATTTAGCCTTTATATATTTATATAGGCATATAGATACACACGGGCTTCCCACGTGGCACTAGTGGTAAAGAACCCGCCTGCCAGTGCAAGAGACTTATAAGAGATTCAGGTTTGATTCCTGGGTAGGGAAGATCCCCTGGAGGAAGGCATGGCAACCCACTCTAGTATTCCTGCCTTGAGAATCCCATGGACAGAGGAGCCTGGCAGGCTACAGTCCACAGGGTGGCAAAGAGTTGGACACGACTAAATCAAATTAGCTTGCACACACACACACAGAAACACACCCTGGGGCTCATCAGTCTTTATACATTCACATATAGATACACACACACACACACATATATATATACACATGTACACAAAGTTATCAGGGTCATTATCTAGTTCAAGACAATATTAAATTCTCCTTGTAGCAGTGAGTATTAAAAACATTAGGGGGGAAAAAGCTTCATTTACCTAAACCAGCATTGACATAAAGGTCAATAAATATAAATGTTACTTATAAATCTTTCATAATCCCTGCAAATTACTTTGGGCAAAAAAAGGGGCTAATTCATGCTTGGAAAACTCCAGTGTTCTCAAATTAATCTAACACTAAATTTCCTATGTATCAGGTGTTACTGTAAGCTCACAATGTTACCTCACTTAAAAATCTCAAAAACACTAAGAAATCGTAAACATTATTAATCCCATACTACAGATAAGAAAACTGAAGTACATTTTTAACAGGTTAAATAACTTGTCCTGATTTGTCACTTCCAATAATAGCTCCAAATGAAGTAATTCAAATTTCTACTGAAGATAACTTAAAAAGATAAAAGAACAATTTTTAAATCTTATAAGTAACAGAATGGTAAGATCTACTAAGCCAAGATCCAGAAGTTGCAAATTCTTTAAGAACTGGGCATGCAGAGTGACTTTTGTTATGGAGAATTTCATCTATTTATTAGAGACTGCCAAAAGGCAGAGAGTGCTTTTAGTAGCCTCAAGGAGAGAGGGGGACAAACGATGGAGGCAATAACCTACAAAAGTAGGGGCTCAAATAAACAACATGGCACTCTGATCTAGGACATGATGATTTGCTAGTAGGGTGAAGATGTACCAGAAACGAAATCTGCATGGACTGTAACCCAACTACAAGTCATCAGGATGGCAGAAAACTCCAAGACCTACCACTGGCTTAAGGTGAGACTCGAACTACTATTTGGAGAAGGAAATAGCAACCCATTTCAGTATTCTTACCTGGAAAACCCTGTGGACAGAGGAGCCTGATGGGCTATAGGCCATCGAGTATCAGGCCAAGTCTCCTAACAGAAGATACAAAAACGTTCTCTATAAAAAGATAACATTATCCCTGCCCTCAACTTATTTCTAGCAGTAATTTTTCAAATAAGATGTCTACTGTAATCAAAGATAATCAGGTATATGAAGATAGAAGACAACAAAATAACAACCAACAGAATAGCTTCAGAAAGAGATCTGAAGAATTCCTAATATGTGGAGAATATCAAATGTGCCCTACATAATAAACATGATTTACTAAGTTCAAAAAAGACAACAGACAAGAGTCAAAATTTTGGCAGTTAATTGAAGCCATAACAAGTAACAGTATGCTTGAAAAATAATGGAAATGCTAATTATGAAAACTATATTAATCAAAATTAAGAATTTGATGGACAGTTTTAACAACACATTGTTGTTGTCGCTGTTATTGTTGTTGTTCAGTCGTCCAGTCATGTCTGACTCTTTGTGACCCCATGGACTGTAGCACGCCAGGCCTTCCTGTCCCTCACCATCTTCCGGAGTTTGCCCAAGTTCATGTTCATTGCATTAAACATATTAAACACTGCTAAAATAGGATGAGCAATCCAGAAGACAGGTCCATAAGAAAATATCCAGACTACAGCAGGATGATTGAGGGTTCAACCCATTAAGTGTGGATCACTCCACCAAGTAAAACTCCGAGGAGATAAGATCCTAGCTAAGGGCAGGAGAAATATGGAATGGGGACAGGAAGAACAAAATCACAGACATCAATTATGATCTTTTAACACATTAAATAACACATTAAACCCAGATAACCATGAGGGTGTGATCACTCACCTAAAGCCAGACATCCTGGAATGCAAAGTCAAGTGGGCCTTAGGAAGCATCACTACAGACAAAGCTAGTGGAGGTGATAGAATTCCAGTTGAGCTATTTCAAATCCTAAAAGATGATGCTGTGAAAGTGCTGCACTCATATTCCAGCATATTTGGAAAACTCAGCAGTGGTCACAGGACTAGAAAAGGTCAATTTTCATTCCAACTCCAAAGAANGCTTGCTCCTTGGAAGAAAAGCTATGACCAACCTAGACAGCATATTAAAAAGCAGAGACATTACTTTGCCAACAAAGGTCCATCTAGTCAAAGCTATGGTTTTTCCAGTAGTCATGTATGGATGTGAGAGTTGAACCATAAAGAAAGCTGAGTGCCGAAGAACTGATGCTTTTGAACTGTGGTGTTGGAGAAGACTCTTGAGAGTCCCTTGGGCTGCAAAGAGAAGGAACCATCCTAAAGGTTCGATCTTAAAGGTTTCCATCCTAAAGGAAATCAGTCCTGAATATTCATTGGAAGGACAGATGCTGAAGCTGAAACTCCCTCCAATACTTTGGCCACCTGATGAGAAGAACTGACTCACTGAAACAGACCCTGATGCTGGGAAAGACTGAAGGCAGGAGGAGAAAGGGATGACAGATGATGAGATGGTTGGATGGTATCACTGACTCTATGGACGTAAGTTTGAGCAATCTCCAAGAGTTGGTGATGAACAAGGAAGTCTGGCGTGCTGCAGTTCATGGGGTCACAAAGAGTCAGACATGACTAAGTGACTGAACTGAACTGAACACATTAAATAAGTATCCTAACAGCTTTGAATAGTGTCTGTTTGATACACACACACACACATCTTCTCTCTTCTCCACATTTTTATTTACAAGTTGTTGGAAGTTAACTTTACAATTTAGACTTTAGTTAATGTATGCCTATGTCTGAATATGAAAAGCAATACAACCAGTGATAGACACAATGACTCTGGAAACTGTTTCCTTGTTTTGGACAAAAGATGAGAACTTCTTCATTTAGAAAAAGTATATATTCTTAGGTAGAAACACAGCTTTGCTGGTTGTTGGGGAGTTCATATGTGTTTAGAAGGATGCATACAGAAGCTGACTAAGGCAGACTGTATCAGTTATCCATTGACTCCTACTTCAAAATTTTGCCTACTCTGTGAAAATGGATCTAGGCCCTTTGAACAATTTTTTTTTTTCCCAGATGGCAGGATACTAAGCCTGCAGGCTTTCTCAACAGAGCACACTGGAGACTGCAGGAGGAAAGAGATCTGCCTCCTTGGTTCCAATGTATTCACTCAACAAGCTTCTGCACCTTGCTGGCTTCTGCAGCACTAGACTCCTACAGTGCCTGATGGCCACCAGCACCCAGCCACCAAGAGCCGCACCCAGCCACCAAGAGCCGCCCCCAGCACTTCCCCTCAGGTAGTTCTGCAGAGGAGCACCTCCAGGGAGACACCACTCCGTGAACAGCCTTCCCCGGAATCCTCTAAGTAACCACAGTAAATTTCACAGGTAGAGCTTTCCAGTGACTTTTCTGCCAAACAA